CTCCCGTGAAACAGCTGGTAGTTTCGAACTGCCGACCTTGAGGTTAGCAGCCCGATTTGTCACCACTATGCTAAAATCCTACCTAATTCTAGTTCGACATTAACCCTAATCACGTAAGTACAAGCAAACTTAATGGGATGCTTTCACCAGCTCTAATCCCTGGGTGACAGGCTCCCAGCAATCCGAAAGCCCTGAAGCTGTGCAGTGTGGTCTCAGGGACTCACATCTTCTCTGCTCTGCTGGTCCTGTAAGGTTCTGCAGAGCCCACGGAGCTGTGGTGTCCACGAGCCAGATGTTCCGAGTCCAATGACAATAAATCAATAGTGCAAGTTCCCTTCCCTGGCTGCACCAGCCCCAGGCTCACTGCTAATGCATTCCTGAGGCGGGCAGAGAACAACCCTACACTGGATGTGGTGTTGGGCCTGTCTCCACAGACAGCCGCCAGGAAGAGTGCTGGCCAGGGGTCAACACAGAGGGGATATCGTGAGGGTGTCTTCAAGGGTCAGTGTCCTTGGTGAGAACGAGAAAGCAAAATGCATAGTGTCGGCTAACAGATTCAGTCCAACATGGGAGGCAGTTTCAAATAAATGGAGAATGTGGAGAAATTGGAGGTGGGATTGTAAAATGGGGCAACCTCTGTGGAACAGTCTGATACTGGGAAACGTGTTTTCATAAAGATTACAGCTCAGAAAGCCCTATGGCCCAGGACTACTCTGTCCCATGGTGTTACTGTGAATCTAAAATCACCTCAAACACACCTAACAACAACTGCGAATAGACCCAAGAGTTTGGAAAGCAGGGATGCTAACATATTTTTATGCCAGTGTTCACAGCAACATGATTCAAAATAGTCAAACGGGGGGAATGTCTATCAACAGATACATGCATAGTGAAAATGGAATGTAATTCAGTCATAAAAATAAGTTTCTAATAAATGTGATGGCATTGATCAATCTAGAAAACACTATGCTAAGTGAAATAAGTGAGAACAAAATGACAAATATCGTACAATCTCACAGAAATGAAACCTCTACAATCGTCAAATGTATAGAGATCAGTAGTTAGTAGCGGCGGACGGGAGGAAGGAGAAGACTGAATGCTTTAAGTCCTGAGTGTGAAAAACTATTAAACGTGAAAACTATTAATAATGATAGATGCAGAACATGGCGAAAATAATCATTACTGAACTGTACATGCAAAAGTGGTTGAAATAGGAAAAATGTTTATTTAAAAAAATTTTTTTAAATCATTAAAAAAAAATCAAACACACATAAGATGGAATTAAAGGGTACCATAATCATTGCTGGGTTTTTAAATCTTAGCTTCTTGGTCTAAGTGTATAAGTGGAAGGAGGGAAATGTAGGTGCTACAATATGGATTTAGAGAGGAAAGTAGGTATTTCACAGATTTCATGCCAACCTTAGGCTGTACTAACCTTGAAAAAGAAAATAACATTTGAACAACTGCATTTTGTGCAAAGAATATGCAAAGTAAGGTCATTGGAACTGATCACCTTGTTATTAGGAGAAAAAAAAAAACCCACACCAAAAAACCAGGATTGTTTCATAACAACAACAATCATGAGTATTTTCATTTTAAACAGTGAAATTAAAAATAAAAAATAAAGTATGCCAGTAACATGGGCATTCCCAAAGATTTCTCAAACAGAACACTTAGATTAATACACTTCCAATTTCCACCAAGGGTTTTCAATGCTGAGACTGCCTTGGAAGTAATTCACCAAGCCAGACGTCCAGGACACATCTGGATGGATTCAAACCATCAACCTTTTAACTTGTAATGCTACCCTTTTCTGCCACCCAGAGACTCCCAACTTGACTCTTGTACTTTGTAAAATAATTGTTACCAAAGATGGGGTACTTTTTGGTGGCTGACTCTCTAGGACCTGCGGAAGGATTCTGATTAGTTTCCTTACACACGCCTCTCATTTTGCCCTCATTCCTAATATTTCTTGTTCTGACAATGGGAATACGCACTGTTTGTATTCCAAGAAACCCAAACCTTCTAAAAAGTGTGGTTCTTTGGCAGCAAACATTGTAGCTCAATCACCAGCATGCGATCCAGGACAGATCACACGCACGGGGTGTGTTTTAAAACTGTTCAGCAATATCGTGCTTAAAAATCACACCAACCAGCATTGGCCATACAGTTCCCCACACGATCATGATGAACATTTCTGCCTCAAAGCGAATGAACTCCTCAAAACATTTCTCTTACTAAATATTTACCTCTGAAACTGGGATAGATGTGGCCATAAATGCACATACTAGCTCCAACTCGTGTTTCTTCTTCTTCCATCAGTCTTAAGTACTTACCACCATCAAAGGAGGGAATATATATCTATATCTGTATATATATCCATCATAATCAACGTTTATAGGACCAGCAAAACTCCACAAAGTCCTGCCTGATCAACACAGAGGTGCAGTCTTGAGTAAGGAAACGGCGACCCCTTGATGTAGAAGAGACCTGGGTTTCAGTTAAAACACTGCCACTTACTAGATATTTGTCTATGGACAAGTAATTTAATTTCTCCCAGACTATTCGTTTTCTAAGGAGTCCTGCTGTGGCTTTGTAGGATAAGGACTGGACTGCGGACCGAAAGGTTGGCGATTCAAACCCACCAGTCGCTCCTCGGAAACCTTTACAGGGTCCCTGTGAGTTGGAACAGATTCGACAGCACTTAACATTACTTTTCTAAAGGGCCGAGAAGTCTAGCTCACCGGGTTGTTTTGTGTATAAAATCGAGACGTTGTGTGTGTTTTAGAGGGGGGTGGCGGATGAGGTCTCCGAGTCTGGATGGGGCGGGGAGGTACGAAGAAAAGACCCCCGGCGCCCCCGAGTCCCACACCCGGATCCGCAGGACGCACACGATCGTACCTGGGAACGTACCAAGGCGCGCAGCCCCACCCCAGCTCCGCGGCGTCCACAAGCGGCGGCGGCTCCCGGGCCAGAGGAGCTCCCGAGGCTCCGGAGAGACCAGGGGCGGCGCCCGGGAACCCGGACCGGAGCCTGCGGGCCCACTGCCGACTGGAGAGAGGAAGCTTCTCAACGCCTCTCAGGGGCGTTTCCAAACGAGGCAGCGAACTCAATTCAAGAAAGCGCACTTCCGGTTTCGGAGACTCGGACACTCGGTGCCACACGAGAGGGCTTCCGTGTGGGAACCAAAGGTCAAGCGTGTGACCGCGGAGTTCCGTTGTTGTTGTTAAGTGCTTTCGAATCGTTACGACTCGTAGCGACCCTGTAAAGGGTTTCCAGGGGGTGCCTGGTGTGCTTGAACCTCCTGGTTCAAACCGACTTTGCAGTCCAATCCTTAACGTACAGCGCCACACTAAGACGCCAACCCTCCACTTTACCTAGCCTGACACCCTTCTCCAGGGACTGGTCCCTCCTTACAGTGTGTCTGAAGTATGAGAGACGAAGTCTGGCCATCCTGGCCTCCAGGGGGCGCTCTGGCTGCACTTCTTACAACACAGATTTGTTGGTTCTTCTGTCCGTCCATGGTACTTATTAAAAAGTGTTTATTGTAAACTGAGTGATATTTACATGGGAGAACATCGGCTTTACACCATCGTTTCATTGCAATGATTACAGTCTCCTCCGTGCATCATCATCCAACAGTATTCCATTCTCTTTGTCTTTTTTTTTTTTTTTTTGGAGGGGGGTGGGGGAGATGTACACAAAAGCACTCAGGAATATATCATAATTTATATCACTAAAGGGCACATTCTGCAAGCCTGCCTCCTGGCCTCCAGCTTTCTGTCGCTCGCTTTACATGAATCTAGTGCCCTCAGCAGCTCGCTCCCTCACTCCATGTCCCCATCTCTGCCTTCATCTCTGGTGTCACTGTTTCTCTGGATAAGGTCCCATATTCTGCTTGTGCTCTTCTCCCTTGATGGTCCTAGGGTCCTCTGTTCCTGGACTGTAAGATGAACTACTCCCCCGTTTTTGTTACAAAACTTCTACCTTTACAGTTGTGACAGTCGCAATTAGTCATGATGACAATTACTCACTGTTGAATCATAAGAATCTTATCCCCATCTCATTTCATCAGGCCCATCTAGACAAGATGAAAACTATTCAGTGGGGACTCTATCTTCCCCCACACTTAAACTAAACTCCCTCTTGAAGATTTGTAAGCCAGTCACACTTAGTGCTTTTATCGCCCCCTCATTTTAGGTAGCCAATGTCTAAGTTGCCTGTTCCTATCTACACTGTCCTGGTGTAGTGCTGTGGGTTAATGTGCCAGACTGCAAAGCCGTTTTAAAAAAAACTGCAAGGTTGGTGGTTCAAGCTCACCAGTTGCTCTTTGGAAACCCTATACAGGGTCGCTGTTGGTCAGAACCGACTCGATGGCACTTTACAACAACAACAATTTACCCTGTATACAGAGGGGATAGGATTGTTACTTTTGGGGAAGACTCCTTCCCTCTCAGTTGGTATTTTCAGCTACTACAGCCATATGTATAGGTCAAGTTCATCAAATTGTAGCAATTTATACTCGGTTCCTTTATCAAAAAAATTTTTTTTTAATCTTCCTCTAGTTGAGTTCTGATTATCAAGTCATTGAGGTTAGGTCAAATGGGTACTATCTGCAAGTCTGGGTGTTCTTATACATCTCCCCTCACTTCATATTAGCTGGATGCTTCACTCTCAGCTCTAACCCTCTGTGGCTATGTCCTTGTCCATGGGCTCAAGTGTCCTCAGGTCTCACCATACTTTGGACCAACCAGACCTTCCTCTTTGCTCTCTCTAATCTCCAGGTCAATGGGAGTCTATGGAGCATGGTTGAACTCAGCCCATTTCTTCATTGCTGCCTTTCCCCCTCACCAATAGACCAACATAGGCATTAGCAAGCTTACATGCCTGCTCATGTGCTCCCTTTGAGTTTCAGTCTTAGAGGGGGGTTTGTCCTGAAGGGACTTAATGAATACTCTAAAGAGGACTTGTACAGCATATCTGCCTAATGCAATACATCCTTTGCTTTCTTAACTGTGATTTCCATGAGAGTTGATAGTGGATCCAAGCAAAATCAAGTCTTTGACGACTTCAATCTTTTCTCTGTTTATCATGATGTTATTTATTGGTCCAGTGGTGAGGATTTTTTTTCTTCTTTACATTGAGATGAAACCCATACTGAAGGCCATGGTCTTTGATTTTCATCAGTAAGTATTTTAAGTCCTCTTCACTTTGAGAAAGCAAGGTTGTATCATTTCACATTGCAGGTTATTAATGAGTCTTCCTCCAATCCTGATGCCACATTCTTCTTCATATAATTCAGCTTTTTGGATTATCTGCTGAGCACCCAGATTGAATAAGTATGGTGAACTAATACAACCCTGGTGCACACATTTACTAATTTTTAACCATTCGGTATCCCCTTGTTCTGTTTGATTGGCTGTCTCGTTGTCTATTGTACAGGATCCTAATGAGCAGAGCTAAGTGTTCTGCAATACCCATTCTTCACAATACTATCCATAGCTTGTTATGATCCCCACAGTCGAAAGCTTTTGCACAGCCAATAAAGTGCAGGTAAACATCTTTCTGGTATTCTCTGCTTTCAGTCAAGATCCATTTGATGTCAACAATAATATCCCTTATTCTATGTCCTTGTCCGAAACTGGCATAAATGTCTGGTAGTTCCTTGTCAATGTATTGTTGCAAGTGTTTTGGAATTATCTGTAGCAAAAGATAATATTTACTTGCATGTAATATTAATGACATTGTCAGATGACTTGCACATTCTGTTGGGTTACTTCTCTTTGGAATGGACACAAATATGGATCTCTTCCAATGAAGCTACCTTTGCCAGGTAGCTGTCTTCCAAATTTCTTGGCATAGCTAAGTGAGCGCCTCCAGTGCTGGATTAGTTTCTTGAAAGGTTCCAATTTGTATTCCATCAATTCCCGGTGCCTTGTTTTTTGCCAATGCCTTCCATGCACCTTGGACTTTTTCCTTCTGGATCGTTGGCTCTTGATCATATACTACTTCTTGAAATGGTTGAACATGGACCATTTCTTTTTGGTACGGTGACTCTGTGTATTCTTTCCATCTTCTTTTGATGCTTTCTGCATCATTTAATATTGTACCCATGTTGTTGGTTTTAAGTGCCATCGAATTGGTTCTGACACACAGCAACCCTGTATAGGGTTTCCGAGGAGCAGCTGGTGAGTTTGAACTGCTGACCTTGTGGGTTGCTGTCCAGTGCTGATCCTCCGGCACCACATCCAAAGAATGCTTCAATATTGCACGTCAAGACTTCATTTTTTTCCTTCAGTTCTTTCAGCTTGTGAAATGCTGAGCATGTTCTTCCCTTTTTGGTTTTCTAACACCAGGTTTTTATACATTTCATTATAATACTTTGTCTTCTCAAGCTGACCTTTGAAATGTTCTGTTCAGCTCTTTTACCTACTCATTTCTTCCATTTGCTTTAGTGTCTCTATGCCACAGATCAAGTTTCAGAGTCTCTTCTGACATTTCTTTTGGTCTTTCCCTTCTTTCTTATCTTCATGACCATTTGCTTTGTGATGTTCTTGATGCCATCCCACAACTCTTCTAGTCTTTGGACATTAGTGTCAAATGCATCTGTTCTTCAGATGATCTCTAAATTCAAGTGGGGTATGCTCAAAGTCAAATTTTGGCTCTTATGAACTTGTTTTAATTTTCTTCAACTTCAACATGTGAGCAACTGATGGTCTGTTCCACAGTCTGCCCCTGGCCTTATTTTGGCTGATGAGACGGAGCTTTTCCACTATTTCTTCACACAGATGTAGTCAATTTGATTTCTGTGTATTCCATCTGGTGAGGTCAATGTGTACGGTTGTCTTTTATGTTGTTCAGTAAGGAACAAGTCAGTAGTCTTGCAAAATTCTACAATGCAACCTACAATTTGCTTTTTATCACCAAGGCCATATTTTCCAACTACTGGTCCTTCCTCTGTGTTTCCAACATTTTAATTCCAATCACCAGAAATTATCAATATATCTTGAATTCATGTTTGATCAATTTCACTGAAGAAGTTGGCAGCATTGTTCAGTGTCATCATCACTGACTGGCTTTAGCAGTTGGAGCACAAATCTGATAGCCGTGGTATTAACTGGTGTTCCTTGTAGGCGTTTGGATAGCCTATCACAGATAGCACTATACATTAAGATCTGACTCACAGCAAACTTGAAAGCCTCATTATTCTCCAGAGGAAGGCTGGTGGGCTTGAACCCCCAGTCTGTAGTTCACATTCTAGTGTTGATCTTAACTCTTGTGTTCCCCCCTATGTTTCCTTAAATACAAATATGAGCTATGATAGTGGGAAGATAACTCTGACTTAAATTTAATTTAAAAGATATTTTCATTATGCCAAGACAAACATAATTATTTGAATGAGGGCTCTGCTTTAAGAGTCAGAAAACAATCCAAAAGGAAAACCGCTGCCATGGAGTTGGTTCAGACTCATTCTGGGCCTATAAGGGTTTTCAAGGCTACCTCTTTATGGAAACAGACAGACACATCTTTCTCATCTGAATTGGCTAGTAGGTTCTTCTACCTGCTGATTGTCTGGTTAGCAGTCCATGCCTTTTAACCACTGTACCCAAAGAAAGAAAACTTATGAAAAATTCTGACAGGTTTTCAACAGGGATAACAATGGGAACTTTAAGTTGATAGATTTTTTTGTTTTAATTTTCTTCATCACTTACTGTCATAGCACAGATGAAGTTTTACAGAACAAATTCCAGATATTTCTCAACATTTCCTTGAAGAAATGTAGAAGTTACTTCAAAAAGACTCCTTGGGAACAACTAGCACCATTTTTTGTTTGTTTATTTGTTTGTTTGGCAGGCAGAACTTCCCTAACCAGTATGGTTTTCTGGTTTTACAAGGTTTCTTCCCCTCCTTTTTAGATATAAAAGAGATTTTAGGCCTGTGCAGTATTCTAACTTCATTTGCTTTGGGTAAATACCTCTACAGTTCTAGATTTGTATATTATTTAATTTATTGATTAGGGATTTTTACATTGAATTGTCATTATTTTTTATATTGAATTTTTAAAAATTACATTTACTGATTTGGTTTGTTTTCCACTGATTTGCTGCTTTTAAATGTTGGCTCAAGCTTTACAGCTTATGCCTATTTTATTTTTGCTGTTTAGTCAGGTT